GAACAAGTTTACACTCCCACCAACAATGCAGTAAGGTTCCCTTCTGTCCACATCCCCTCCAGCATCTGTTGTTATTAGAGTTCTTGATTATAGCCAGTCTAACTGGGGTGAGGTGGTATCTCAATGTTGTTTTGATTTGCATTTCTTTTATGGCTAGATAGGTTGAGTATTTCTTCATGTGTCTATTGGCCCATTTATTGATCAGGCAGTTGTTTCTTTGAAGATTTGTTGTTGGGGCAGGAAAGATTTTATTATACCCATCCTTTGTACCTTTCTCCCCTGTACAATCATAGCCTAGGAGCTCAAAATTGCTTTATGATCTGGAACTGTGAATAGGTGTCTGTAATGGACATGTGATACAATTTAATTGAATGGAACCAAGAATAATCTTCTTCCACTCTTCTCCCTTCATTGATAGAGAAGTTGAGGCTCACAGAGAAAGTAAGCCCAACCCAACTGTAGCTTATTTCTTGGCTGATGTAGGGTCAAATGGAATCACACCAAGGAGGGACAGGACCTGGATGTTTGGCAGATGAAAGCATCTTATCAGCCTTAATGCCTCACGTCACCTGACCACAGCTAGATTAAAGCTAGTTTCTTGTAGATGACAGTTTAACTGTCTTTGCAAGGATTTTTCTCAGTGTATAGGCAGGGTCACACCTGTTCATATGTGCCCTGCTTTTGGTCTATCATATTTCTTGCCTGTTGGGATCTAGCACAGTGATAAATTTTTTTCTTTTAGATGTTTTTTTGTAGTCATAACTGTTAACTCTCTATAACACATCTCATAAACACTTAGAGGTGACTAAGACAAAGGGCAAGGTGCTGCAGACTGGGAGAAATATAGAGCTAGGTTAAAGAGATCCCCAACTCAAAAATGCTACCCTCATTTGTCCTTCTAGAGGTGACAACATGGCCAAGTTTTGACAAGCATTTTTATCCAATAAATAGAAGTTAGGCCTATTTTGTCTAATTTGAGGACAAATAATCAAAATTAGTAATCTGCCAACTACTAGACACTGTTACTCAGAACTTTAAAAGCCCAGACTTCTAAAATTTCAGTCCAGTTGGGGAAAGACAAGTCAAAGTTCAAAGTCATGGATTTTAAAAATAGCAGTAGCAATTACTGCTCATAAAGATCTTGCATGATCCAAGGAAAGATACAAGTAAATTTGCTTCCTGATATTAAATGGATTTGTGTTTGGAACCTCTGGATTTCACTGACTCACATCCTTCATGGTCGCTCTC